CGCCGAATATCTTACATTAAAAATAATATTTATAACGGTTTAAAAATGCATAGATTTTTCTTTCTTTACACAGCACAGTATCGCTGTTGCAAGCCTGAATCCATATTCATTTGTATTGTTATGTAAGCGAGCGTGTCGGTAGCTCCCACTTCTTTAAGATACTCCAGAACATCGGGGTTATGTTCTATGTGATTTGTATTCACCCATGGATGGTGGCGTTTCGATTTGAATATGCATTCGTTCAACCCAATTAAGTGACGTGGTCATGCATCCTATGCTCTGCAGGCGCTTAGATACCACAGAACTGTGGCCTGTTAACTGGCCCCCCTGGCGACTAGAAGGGGGCGGTGCAGTAGTGCTGCCGGTGTAAAGTGGGAAATATATTTTTCTTTTTTCCTTTTTTACTCTGTGCATTTTCGCCGTTTCAATCCGGTATCATTATTCTTAATGTGATATCTTCAGCGGCGTTATCGAAAAGCCACCTAGAACATCTTGTCGTTTAATCCTGTGTAAGACTATCTTTTCTACACTTCCGCAGTGTCGGTGTAAAGTAAAAAAGAAATTTTTCTTCTTTTCCTTTCTTTATTCTACTTTAACTGCTCTTAAATGCATTGTCAGCTAGGCTTAGCTTTGGAAGTTGTAGGGTGATAAATTTGTGAGCACGATAAACAGTTTTAAAGTTTCTTTGCTAGTGACTTCGGTTATCCGTCAATCGGATAAGCTGCATGTACCGGTATCTAAGCCACAGCAAAGTGATGCGTTAATTGTTGATAAGCGTGTCATTCCTATATGTAGTCTGTCGTCTTCCGCTGCTAGATCGGACTAAATTCTGCTTTGGATCAAACGGGTCGCTTACTCGCTGAATCTGATATTTGCGAATATAGCAACGATAGGTACCGATATGTACCCACGCTGTGTAGAGATCGATCTGTCAAGCAAACACGGTCTATTTCAATAGTTCCCATGTGCATCCATAAGTAAGGGACATGCTGCAACGCCGTATGAACCGAGTTGGCGAAATGTTTTGCGCTTACAGAGTATCCGGGAGAAAACACATTCTTGGCCCTAGCCACGTCAAAGAACCGTGCGAAAAAAACCTTCAGGATTGTGCAATAGGCAGCAGAGAAAAGTCACTTTCCCCAATGATCAGATTGCACCGGCATCGTTAAAGAAAGAAATTCGCTGAACCGATGAATCAAAGAGGTATTAATTATCCAATCATGCAAAAATGTCAACTGGGACAAATGCTAAAAACTTTGCGCAGATTAGACAAGCTTTGTTGCGCCTACTGCCGAACGAGATTGTTTAAATGACACTATTAGACTATGCTCCCTATAACGTGATTTTGTTTTCGTGCTGCAGTAAGAAATGTTTTTTGTTTCTGTGATGTGTGTGTGTGTGTTTATGTGCTGAAACATCTTTGCCATTCAGACAATAACGTGATATTTTTACTGTCATGAAAAAAGTTGTGATGACGGTAGCCGTGTCTGTAGACGAACCCCAAAGAAGAAGTCTTCCGATTCACTGGTCATGGATATGAACAACATTTCAATATTTGTTTAGAAACGGGTGTTTCGCACAACCGCCATATTAAGAATTTCAGGACTATCAATGTGAATGATCGATAGTGCAGTTATTTTCTGATACAAATTAAAGTTTAGACAATGATGTAGAATACAAGGATATATTTAATTGCTTTTCAGCGCAGCTGCAATGCTGTGGATATGCAAAGCGGCAAAAGTGGAAAAAGGCATATTAGGTTGCTGATTTTTTGATTGTATACAAACCGTTGCTTAGAACTTCTGCAGTTCGTTTTGGATTTATCCGTGACTGAAAAACTTGCAAGATTTAACGTGTTTGACATGAGCCATTTTCTCAGTTGAGTATATCTTTAAATCTTCTTTGTGCTTGCCTTTCCTCTAACTATTTATTCGAAAGATTTACGTCTACTGCATAGTTCAATGTAAACCTTGACCATGTTATCTTACTTAAGCGTATTACTGTAATATTGTTGGCTGTATACGGTAGTCATTTTTGTGTTTTGGTCATTTGTTTATTTTGCCAATTTTCAGTTCTCTGTTTGCTGACGATTAAACAAACAAGTTACTATGACCATGACTAATTTACATACAGTTTACGTATACCTGCATTAAGATTTTTCACGTATTCTTGCAGGTAAAATGGGTTGCTCAGCGATTGCGATTAACGGTTGGATTCTAAACACGATACGGGAAATTCGTATGCATTAATGAGTTAATGAATAGTCAGAACATGATGACCTAACTTTTCATTCCTTGCGATCGGTTTGTTCTTTTGTAATTTCTCTGATGTTAAGTAGCTGCTTATACATAACCGTTTTACCAATAAGATGGTATGTAATGGGAATAGTAAGTAACCTGTGCACTTTCGAAGTTTTTTTGTCTGATTGACTTCCGGCTTGAATGCAGTCCGATTTAATAAACTCGCCGATTTCTATTGCAGCTGGTATTGGTTTAGTAACTGTTGGTTTATAGGTGCCATAGGGTCGCTGAAAGAGGGCGATTTGACTTGTTTCAAGATTACGTTTGCCCATGGTGGGTTTTTCACAGTTTCATCCGATGTCGTTTGGACACTGATCAAGTGACACGATGGCCGGGAACTTTTGGCAGAGTTCACATTTGTAAAAATCTTTTTATCGCGTTGTTTACTACCTCATATACGCTGCTGTCGTCCAGAGTTAATCTCATGCAAACACTAGAGATTAACGTTGTTCCACGTACAAAACTAGAAGGCCACAACGCTTTGTAACACTTCAAGGCGAAAAACTCCTGTTATGTAGATCAGATGCGCAGAGTTAATTAAATACAGCGGAAGTCGAATGGTAGAATGCTTTATGTCCTATTTGTTCAAATATTTACATCAAAATGCTTCAACTGGAAACTGATAGCTTGGGTATTTGTCTCTGTTTAAAACAGTATAGGCAACCGAGTGCTCCAATTATCATGGTATTACCATACTGTAAACATCCCGGAATCTGTCCTTGTGAATTATCCCGAAATGGTTGAAACAGGCAGTACGTAATAGAGGATTCTGCCTGAATTAAATAGGCTTCCGGACGGTGTATTTCTGTGCGGACCAAATTTTCACACTTAAAAATCGTAAGCAAAGCTTCGTTTCCTCTATTATAAAGTTGTATTTGATTCAATAAATGTGAATGATCTTGAAATACGATGGGATCTTTGAACACACTTTCACATTTTGGAATGGATGTATGCTTTGACTCTGCAGTCAAAGCCGAACGGATTCCGTATTAACAATGGAGCTTGCCAGGGAGATATGCTTTCGCCTTTGCTGTTCATCATAGTTTTCGACTTTCATCTTCGAAATAATTCTAACTTTGGCAAAAACAAAGCGCTCATTCTAGAAGGAAAGCGCAGTTCAGCATATACGACAAAATCTCTTAATAATCTGACGAGCGCAACTGATATTGTTCTGCGAAGTAATGTCCTGACAGCTTCCTTATGTAATGCATCTGCGAAATTTTGCTTCTCTTCTGCTCAGTTACGTTCAGAGTTATTAAGAACCTAGCAGGCACGACGGTTGACCTGTTAGCGATACAGAATAGAGAAGCTGTATAGGAAGTTTCTTAGTTTAAGTGTCTCGGCTCCATCATGTACAGCGAATCATCCAACCAGAGTTATATTGGAGAATCGCCCTGGCCATGAGTGCTTTTGGGAACATGTCCGATATATGGGTCGAGGAAGGGAAACGTTTCTTGCACAAGTTCACAATTATCTTGCCTCTGTTTACTGTTCTTTTACTTCATGGACACACTTGTTCTTACGACAGAGTAAGAACGATGTTGAGTTGCGTCTAGCAGAGTTGGTTTCGATTTGTAATGATGGTTAAATAAGGGTTTATCATGTAATGAATAATTTTCTTCCGGGCGCATATTACTTCAACAAATGAGCAGAAAAACGAAGGTGGATCCTGTTAGACAAACTGTTTGAGAATGGACCATCTGTTTCAGTCCATAAACATTTGTGTGGGAGTCAAAATATATCAAAGATCGACCAAGAGTCCAGCATGCAACCTGGAAGATCTGATTTCGGAGAGGAATGGTTCCTTCTATGATACAGTAATCAGTGCCTAATAGCGGAAGTGTTGTAAAGCTGAGAGTGCAGCGGACATCACAAACCAAACACGTTCTGTTTACGCAAGCGGCATATGGCAATGGTCACGCAAATGCACACACATGCAGATTAACAAACTTCTCCCGAAAGGATCTTTAAATACACATTTTACGACAACGTATATTTTACAGTCGCATGTAGGAAAGTGAGTGCGGAAGACCCTGGCTGTCCCTCCAAGAAAAAACACGAAAATACCTTACGAATGCAGGTTATAGTTAGGCTTTCATCATTTTTTACCGTGGTCTAATATAGCAAGTGTATAACAGCATTCATAGCACAGTTCGCTCACAATGTTAAAAATTTTGAATCGATGTATTTTAGCATTATATGTACTCGCATTTTTATGACTAAACCCGGTGAATGGGGTTCACATGATTCGAAGTTCTAGTTTATCGAGAGTATGATGATTAAACACGTTTAGGTCTATGGCATTTGACCATCTTCAGGCAATAATTCTGTCTTGTATTCTCCTGTTTTCCGACGATTGCAGATTTCACTAATAAATATTAAGCTGGATAAGCAGCGACATTCATTATACCGCCATTGCTAATATTCGCACCCAGAAAATTATTTAATCTATTCATCCGTTACGAGATTACTCGAAAATTATAGTCTCAGTTGAAAAGTTACTTAAAAGACAAATTTAACTGTAATAAATCGAAGCATTATTACTTTGGCAGTTAATTTGTCTACATTATGTATGCTCAAGAAGTGAACATTGAAAGATTCCATATTTTCGTTAAAGTTTAAATCTCATGCTTTTAAGTGTCGGAAGAATTCATATTATTTTGGTTAAAATTTTGTCAAAAAGCAGATCTGTAATGACCGCTGTACGTCCTTACTTTTAGGCAGCAGTGGATTCTTGACCGGCAAGAAATTCTCTACGAACGAGCTGCGGATTTAAGGATCTTTTCAGAAGAAGAGTATCAGAAGATCGGCATATTTTTTACTAATTGTACGTTGCTTTAGCTTTAGGTTTTGTTAAATCCGTTTTGATGCTAAATTTTGAATTAATCACCTGATAACAGTTTGATTCTTGTCGAAATTATCCTTAAAAGATTCTTCAACAATTTACTTACGGTGAATATTTACTGCAATTAAGCAGTAAAAGAAGCTGTCTCAAATGTTAACAGAACTTAGTTGATTTTCAGCCCTAATTGAACCTTTCTAAACCACTGTCCGTATTAATTCCAAAAATGCTTGGTCAGATTTTCTCACCATGTCGTAAATCCTGTGACAGGATATGATGATTAATTGATAAAATGCACTGAAACTCCGCTGGATTTGTGAGTCATGAAATAGTGCTAAAATTGCATTCTTGCTTGACAGACGCGTGCGATCGAGTAACATTACTTGAACATGAGCCTTACGTTTCTTCATCGTCCGTTTCAACGACCGATCAGAAGAAACTCTGTTTTTTTTATATTGTCACTATGATGTAAGGGCCAGCAATGCTTTGTGGTACATACTACTTACGAGAAGATGATAAAATACAATCGGAATCCTTTAACTTGTCTGTTTTACTTTTTAAGAGGCCTGTTTATTCCAGCAATCTGAGTAAAGCCAATAGCCGTACATATGAACGACTTTATGTCGAAGGTGATGAATCACATCATTAACTATTAAAACCTCTCTGGCAGACTCACCATTCTATAAAATATGAGGCTCCTTTAGGCAGAGGAAGAACTGGCACGAATATCTTCAGCGTTTCTAAGATATTTCATGATGCAGCCGGTAGATGGGGTGCGCTGTAATATGTTGCCAAAAATTCTTTATATGTTATTAGATAGAAATAAAAACTTAATAGTTTGCTAATCATAATAGTTGGAGTACGAAGATGGACTAAAAATATTTAAAGTTTGTGAAAGATCATATGGGATGCATTGGATTTTTATAAAAGTTCTACTATACAGCATTTTATATCACTTTTTTAAAACCAAATTTCCATGGGGCTGTCAGTTCCGGCACTACCTTAACCTTGCACATTTATTAAATTTCACAAAGTACTGCCTGGATAGTAGTCGCACTTCATCGTGGTTTCCTTGGAAATACATAATGTGATTACCAGTTTTCTGTTCAGATACTCGATTAAAAGATTTTTTCTTTCGAAAAATTGTTTGAAAAGTACTTTTTACTCTGTTTCTTCTGATTATTGCTCGTTGCATCTATCAGGTTCCTTTTGCCTCGTTGTGCAGACGTTCCATAGTGCATACTTGGCCATCACCTATACCGCAGAGTCTAATCTCTAACATACTTCATCATGACACGGTATCCTTTTCTATGACCAGTGATTGTTCTTCACACAGCGTCCCTCAAGGAGCAGTGGATTACTTTGACTGCCCCTACTAAGAGATGTTTGCGATATAGGTTTGATCTGTGATGCAAAATGGAGAACAGTTTCCATAGTCAGGTGTGTAGCACGCACTTGGAGCAAATTCAGGCATTCGTGTATCTTGGTACAATCGTTATTACGGTCAGATGATTTTTTCGGCTGAAGTTAAAACTCAGTGAACCACAGCAACGGAGGCGATTTCAAAGCTAAAATCTCTCTGGATGGAAAATAACAAATATGCAGATACCAACGCCCCCTTGCTAGAATACCCGTGGAATCCGTCTCTCTGCAGTTTTGAACGTGAATGCTGATGGCACAAACGAATGAATTATACACTAGCACAGGTAAAATGAAATCTTATCGGTGTCTGGCCAAATTTTCTACAAAGACGATACATATTTTTACTGTTTCTTGTATTTATTTGGTTGATGTTGTCTAGCATTCTTTTATCTTTGTAGTGATTCAAGCAATCGGTGAACAGCTGAAAGTTCGGCAGCAGGTTATCGCGACGGCAACTGTGTATTTTCGTCGTTTCTACGCGAGGTATTTCTGCCAGTTAATGTTGCTTAGTCTATTGTTTAATTTCCTGTTTCGGGAATTCCTTAAAGTCTATCGATCCATTACTACTGTCTCCAACATGCATCTTCCTGGCTTCTAAAGTTGACGTAAGTTTTCAGGACTGTAGCCATTTTCATTGGATAACTTGCCGTTTTTGATATAATTTCAGGAATTTGGTGTAATATCGCAAAATAAGCTCTTGACGGCATGCCAAAGTTTAGGTAAGTGTTTGGACAGTTATCTAAATGGCGCTGATGTACGCATGGAGCGAACCTGAGCTTGAAAACGCTCCATCAAATGTTCAGATAGCAAAACCGCTTCCAACCAGCATCAACACATTTTTAGTTTTTTGAATTACGCAGTAAAAGCTTTTTTCCACATGGTCAGATAGTAGGTATGTTCAGATGCCCAAATAGTCGATTTGCTCACAGAGTCAGTTTCCATGATGCGGTTACTTTCAAAATTCTGTCATATGCGATTGTGAGGGGAGGGTTTACCAGTTGTAGGTCGACGCATGTTGGAATTCAAACTAACAAATGCCCGTTTAACATAATCGTTGTTTTCGTTTGATTTTAGTGCGTCAGGCTGTCTAACTGTAACAAGACTACGTTTAGAAAAAACTGATGATATTTTATCTCTGTTTTATGCGTAAGTGGTTCCTTTGTTTCTTATTTGATGGATATTCACTGTTGGCTGAAATGCTTCACTCCATGGCTTGATTGAATTATAGATGCATGGAAGAATGTCGTTCACAGCGCTGTGCACTCCAAAAATCAATGCTGATCCTCGAATTTGCCTCGTCACCTCTTCCTCTGAGAGTACCTTCCCACTACCCTACGATTGCTACCAGATCAGGAAAGCTGGTTCAACGTTAGCAACCTGGACAAAACTCAGTGCTAAAAGCGTTCTCATATCCAACCGTGCTTTTTTTTTAAATTTTAATTACCTTTCCTTTCATGAAACTCCTAAATTTCTGCCTGATACTGAACTACCGTTTGTCGATTTTAAATATTTTCTTCATTCTGTCGTTTTTTTGACCTTAAATTACGAAAAATCTTATTTATTACTTGTTGATGTGACGTCGAACATGATGTGTGGCGTTCGGTATATTCTCCCAATCTTTCTGGTCCAATTTTCTATTTTGGTGGGGAGCATTTTCTGAAATCTTTCTTTCCGTGCTTTCTTTTCTCTTTCACTGTTTCTTTTGTTGGTAGTTTTTTTTCCATAGGTTCTTGTGAAGGACTGACGCCCCTTCACGAAACCGGTCGCAGCATCTAACACGTTATATGCATCGAGCTCGATATTTACCAGAAGCGTTGTTTAATACTTAAAATTGGTGGAAGGCACTGCGATTCGGTAATAAGTTACATGAACTTTTTCTAGTGAAGAATCGATACAACTTCTGCTATCAACAGGAGTTTCCTTATCGTATAAATCACATTCTCGAAGCCGAGTTTTTTCTCTTAGAAATGCTGGTAAGCTTGATTTTTTTGATGCATGTGTTTTGTGTTTATGACGTGTTGTTCTACTAGGATTGTTGTCTCATCGTCTACCATCCGTATCGTCCACTGATGACATTCTTTGACGACCTTTCCAATGACGAATCTTTGATTTCGCTGTCTTGGTACGTGTTCATTCACATGACGCTTGTAATGTTGCCGACAGTTCGACCTAGACCGTATACTTTTCGTACAGGTGTTCTGGTCAGACTTGAAAATTGTATGAGTTGTATAAGTCTTCTTACCATCCCTGTCGAACTGTTGACGTCATGGCATTGAGTCACCATTGCTTCATTGACCAGTTTCTTCATTAAGTTTTCCAGCGTAAGAGCTTGGGACAAACTGCTTTCATCGATCCTGATAGAAACTCTAAGAATATGAGCATGCTGACTGTTGATTGATGGATCAATCGAATGTTGCGAATATAAGCCAACCTTGCTCGTTAGTTAACTTTAAACCTTTGCTGGTTTATTTTCTATTTTACCTAACAGTCGAAGTTAATAGATGCACTAAATATTGTAACAGGGTCCCTCATTTGATGATTCCCATCGCGGTTTTGAAGCAGCTGCCGGCAACGCTATGCACTCATTTGGGTTTAATTAAAACGTTGAAGGAAAATCATCAATGACAGTTTGAAAACCGACGTTTGTCTGATGTATGCCCCCTCGCAAATCGCTCTTGCTTGCCTTCACATGGCTTCGGTGATGCTCGGGAAAAATCTAAACAACTGGTTTGCTGAGTTGTCTACAGATATGGAAAAGGTTCGCTTGTTGGTGTATATCAGTTGTTGATTGATTATTGTTTCGGATTAGATTCTGGAAATCAATCATCAGCTGTTAGCTATGTACCAACTATGGAAGAATTTTGATGAAAAAAAAGAAATGTACGGCTTACTTCAACGGATACCAAAGTCAAAAAGTCAGCCTTCACGGTAGGTGCTGCCGCTTGCATAAGTGCATGCTGCATTTTTGCCACCAATCTGTACACTTTAGACCTCCGTCTGCTGCCGGAAACAGCAACAGTCAGGACCAGTTGCTATCTACGCAGCCAACGCCAAATTCTTGATTTTGTTATATTTTGTTTAAATTTATTTGTGTATTGTTTTTTTTTAAATTATTTACTACGTTCGATAATTTTTTCTTCAATAACTTTTTTCTGAGATTTTCATCGTTCACAAACTGATGGGCAAAAATTGAAACGTGTATTTTAGTTAACACGAAACCTCTGCACTAGTGATACAGAAAGGCTGATGTTTTTTCATCTTTTTGTATATGCTAATTGTACCCTTCTTATCTGGCGTGTGTTTTTTATTATTTGCATGTGAGGCATGATGATATTTTGTCGGATCCACGTGGAATCGGTTAAAGCCAATTAGGCTTTTGTAACTAAATATTGGAAGAATTTTTTGCATGTGGAATATGGTAATTTTATCTCTTTTATTGATTACTTGTTTTCTCCTCGTTGACTTTAAAATAACGTTATCAAATTAAGCCTACTTTTATTCTACTACCTGAAAACTCAAACTGTATGATTGTGTGCAGTAACTCATTTAAAGAATTTTGATTTTCATGTTCTTAAATACTGCAGAATGGAACTTTTCTTGTTGCTTACTATTTGCTGTTTCGAGTATTCTATTTGTATGCTTGTATTTTGTTCGTCCGATCGAAACCAAGGGCTTAATTAAGCACAACGCAAAAATCGAATATGATATGATAACATTTTTTCACTCCGTGCTTTACTTACCTTCTTCAAAGTCAAACTGATTGTTCATTCTTTGTAACTGCTGCTATCTGCTGTTCTTAGAGCCGCGAAGTGAGATTTTCAGTATGGTGTGTTGCTGCAATAATTTATTGTCAACGGACTCTGCGAATTTCATTCAATCATCACAGAATTCCTATCTGTTTCATTTAGTATCTTTCGCACGTTATTCTGGTTTTATATCTATGTGTTCTGAGCCCGTGATTACCTTTTCGATGCAAGCTTCTTCCACGTGTAAATAGCAAGCAGCGTCTCGTTGAATGTCTTTTAATGGAGCCCGGAAGAGCAACTGCCTAACGCGAGCAAGAACGACGGCGTTTTGGCTTTCGAGGCTGTCCAGGGTATACGGTGGTGTGATTTTCAGAACCCCGTGAAAAATCACGATGTCGTTGCCGACTTCTTGGAACTGGACAGCGGAGCGTTGCAACCAATCCTTCACTATCTCCTTACGAGCAGCAACCTGTTCTGCACTTTCAGCAACAGGCTGAAAGAACTGTTCAATGATTCGTCTGACACTATCGCTGCATCCTTCTGATAGGACCCTCACACTCTGAATCGAT